TCCACTCTTCTAGGAAGTGCTTTGTGAGACGTCTGAGCACGCTACAGAAGGTGGGTTTGGACAAAATAAAATGTAGAAGTTGATGGCCTGTCTCAGGTAAAAAGTTCTCTCATCATTTCTTCTAGACCCTTCTGTTCCCCGCTCCCCAGCTGGATTAGAAGAGAATGTGAAGGAAAACACGCAACCTCTCCAACCACAAAGACAAACCCCCGTGTCTACCCAGCAGCCAGCAGAACTCATGAGGTTCAGGATCACTGGCGGTGCAAGGACATTTATTGCAAACTGATATACATTACAACACTACATTGTGTTTGGAGTACTTCTTAAGAATTAGTTTTGTTATTGTTGGATCTGAGAAGCTGACATTCACCTAATTCACATTTCAAGAGGTTTTTTGCTTTGTTTTCACTTCTGACTAGCTGTGGGCTGGTGCCATGCAGCTGGACTGCATCTCACAGCTTAGTTTCATCTGCTCCATGTGGTCCAAAAGCACTCCAAACTGCAAACAGAAGCAACAGAAGTGAGTTCCTGATCCAAATTAGCACACTGATGTAGTCATACTCACAGACTGCGAACTATTATGCGGGCACCTATCTTATAGGAAGGGGCAGTGGCTACTCAACATTTCATCCTCTCATAAACCTACTCTTAGAGGACAATGCCTTAGGTTGCTCTCAAGGTGAGATGAACCCAAGCATTAGAGCTTCCAAATTCTATTACCAGGCTCTGTGTTACCTTACTTTCAACGTAAATCTGGTTTAGAAACTGCTTCAAACTCTTCTGAGAAATCTGATCTGGGATTCTTCCCTTCCTCGAGACCACATTTCACACCATGCTTCATATGCAGCTTCATAAATAAATCTTGCTATTAATATAAATGAACTCTTTTGGTTTAACAGAAGCTATCAAAAATAGCCTTTTTTTTTTTTTTTACAATTTTTCTATAGCAAAGTTGAAGGAATATTTGGTACATGTTAGCATTTCACAGTTGTTTAACTTCTAATATTTAAAGAGTAGGTCAAGCCTCATCAGCTGCAAAGGGACTTTGTAAAAGTTAGAGAGCAATAGGCTTCATTAGGTCTGGGTATGTCTGCTCAAGGCAGGGTAGGAAACAGCACAGACCCAAGCACATGAAGGATGTTAGCTAATAAGGAAAAAGAATTATTCGGCCAAGTACACTGAACTGTAACTCAGAGGACTATATTAAGAAAGAGATTTAAAAAAATGGGATCAAATTATATTGAGACAACAACACACATTATCTACACAAGCAGTAGAATACTCATAGATTGGGACTTCTGAAAAATTTGAACAGAAAAAAATGCATTAGAAAAGAATCATTTTTGTAAGAAAACAAACACAATACAGAGCACACTGGCTCATACTTAAAAATGCTAGTGTCACATTTTTAAATTACAGATTTTTCTTTAAAAATAAAATTTAAGCATTTCAATTTTAATATATATGCATATTACAGGCAAAATTAATTTCCCCCAAATTTCCCAACATTTGAGAGGACTTAATTTTCTATACAGGTTACACACTTTATCAGGATTATAAACAATGGGTGAGAAAATAACTGCCTTCAGTGCCAGAGGTACAAGCTTGCCCTGGTTCAGAATTGGATCCGCTGTCGTCATTAACAAAGCATGGTACTTTTTTAGAGCTCCCACTCCAGCCTTCATTGAACTGGTATTTTCAACGAAGAATTCAAGTGAGGCCACATTTTGATGTGTGCACCTGATCTTCCTAAGGACTGACATCAGTGAAACTAAGGAAGGAGCTGGACAATATGAGGTTATTCCTTCTGTTCCAAGAACCACCTCCCCAGCTGCTCAAGAACCTCGCGAGGGGCTTGAAGATCAAATTGTTACTATTTCCCTGTGGAAGTGTGTCTCTGGCCAGAGCAGATGCTCAATGACAAGAGCTCGATTGCCATCCCTGCAGAGTCAAGACATTGGGAAAGGAAACATTTCTATTAACAGGTTTTCTCCTTACGCCTTCGAACTCCACGGTAGTTACGCTTCCCCAGTGAAGTTAAGCCCTCTAGTGGGTGATCAGTCAGTAACTGTTCGGAATAAAAACGTTCAGCCACCCAGGCAGACACCAACCTAATTCCACGAACATTTCTCATTTAGAAAGCAAGTCTGTGGGAATGACATCACTTGATGAGATTAATAGGGCATTTTTATAGGATCAGAGTTCAGTTCAGAAAGAATTTTTATTACGCTAAGAGCCTTTTGGTTGAAGAAATGATATGCAGATATCATCTCTGGATATGTTAGTAGCAACGTGAGTTTTATTTTCAGCCTTTCCATGAAAGAACAGCAAAACAAAAATCCCCAATTGTTACGGACTGTTCTGTGGGTAGAAAAACTAATACATCAGGTTTCCCCGTGACTGTGAAATCCACCCCTAAGGTTACTGGCCTTAGGTATTCTATCTCCACCTGCCTCCCTGACTTTCACACCAGAGTGTCCTCTCTCCTTCCCTGCATCCCACTGCTCCAACAGCTAGGCAAGAATCAGTTTTGGACAAGCCACAGCATAGGTGCATACATATGTGCCAACTGGCAGGCCAATACACATTTCCTAAGCAATGAGTGAGCCGCTGCTTTTCAGTCACCACACAAGCCAAACTAAAAGGCTTATTTTTCCTCAGCTGAAGCTAATTAACATCTATCAAGATGCCAGTTTTCACAAAACTCATAGGAATTCAAGTAATCAAATTTGAAGCTAGCCCTGCATAGCATCTTTTCCTTAGAAAGCCAGGCTAGGATGCAGAAAATCAGTTTTCAGCAGCCCAGGAGCTAGAATAATTTCTGAGCAACTGTACTACAAGGTAGAAACTCTGAGAAACTCACCGGACAAGAAATGGGTCAGATCTGAGGGTGCAGAAAGGGAGGGACTGAGGTAAGTAAAGCATGCATCTTGCCAAAGACACAGCAAACCTCTGGAATAGAGTATCTTGTTCACTTAGTCTAAAACAAAAAAAATCCTGGTATGTAAATTGGTGACAGAATACACAACAGTCCCCTCCATTTCAATGGGAGCATGAGGGGTTTGAGTAAGTGTTCTACTTCTATTCAGGTCACGTAACGCAGTATTATGTGGCAAACACTGACAGCTAAAATGGGAGACAGAGAATTCCGTTTCAGAAGGAATTTGTTCAAGTTGCATGTTTAACTCTTGAATAACTACACTTCAGTGAAGATGGCTTAAATGCCTTTCTACAGAAAAAGCAGAGACATCACAACAAATATCAACGTTTATAAAAAGCCACTTTCCCCCTAAACTAGGGAAAAAGGGCAAAACTGTACTATTCTTTCCAATTCCCCAACCCAACTCACAAAGGCAGCTGGTTTAACTTTGTGTTAAGTGGATACACTGAAATGACCTACCATTCAACAAGTGAGAAAAAAAATACACTAATAGAAAACTCAACAAAAATCTCAAGTGTCAGGGTGCTCCCATAACAATTTCAGTATTGACATACAAGTGTACAATAGACACAAAACTACCAGGCTGAGAGAGCAATCCAGCAGAAGCTAGGCTCTCAGTTCCTTGGCTCTCCAACAGTTCTTCCAGTTCCTCTCCAAACTGGTTTTCAGAGACAGGAAACAACAGTCCAGGGCTGCTCCCGTGCCTGTCAGGTCAGCTCACGCCCAAGGCCTCAATTACTCACATCTCTTCCAAGGGACAGAATTAACCTTTCCAACAGCCTTTTGTTGGCACATCCCATGTCTTACTCAGAACTTTACTCATCATTTTTGTCCCTGGTAGATCACTTCCACAATGAAAATCTTTGGTTTCAAGATTTCTTTTTGTGTTTGATACACCTGAGCTAGATCTTTGAAAACTACTGCTGTATTTTCAACTCCAGGTTTTTTCCACTAAGATCTTCAAATTGCCGCACCTAGCTCATGACATAAGCAATTGCCTGACTTTCACAGGGATTCTTCTTTTTATTAAATCATTTATTGTTTTCTCCAGGTCTGCATCCCTCTGTGCTTGTATTGCGTGAACGTGCGGCGGAAGGATGAACCATTTAGACCCAATCTTATTTGTAACACAAAATCCTTTTCCTGTTTTACAGTTACAAAATACTATTTTTGAAACAAGAAAGTTTCCTACATTTAGACATACTAATCCCAAAAACTCTGCCTCTGTATTATCTGGTATGGCAAGAGTTCAATAAACTTCCCTCCCCTGTCCCCATAATTACCTGGTTTTGACAACATGAAGTTTAAATCAAAATGTTATAACAGCTGCCTGAATACCCACTCTAGCCCCAGGGGGTAAATTCCTTGCCACTAACCACCAAGCAAGCACAAACAAAAGCAGTTCAAACAGAGGGACAATGCTCATTGCCATACAATATTCCATAGTGGTCTTGGGAACTTGACTCTCAGCATGGTATTTCAGGTGAATACACAAGGAACACAAACTGCCAGCACTGAAGAGTATGCAGCAAGCTGCTCCATGTGCTGCATTACAGCAGGGCAGCACACCAACGCGAGTCACGTAACACAACACAGAACGTCACCAGCTAGGAATCAGATCCACACTCTATGCACTATGAACTAAGTCTGTTACCAGGCTGAGACAGATTATTTACCCGGGGGAAGAACATGGGATACTCTCGTTGGTTCCACACCAGGAAGAGTGGCCATCCAGGTAAGGGAAAGGGTTCATCTTTGTTTAGGTTTACCAGAACGGAAAAGATTGAATTCTGCTTTAATCAACTGCTACACTGCTGCATGTACCCACCAAATTATAGGATGTAAGCCTTCTTTACATTCTGATAACCACACCTTCATCAACAGGAGAAAGCTTTTATTTATTCCCAAGACCCTATCTATCTAGACTGACTTACTGCGAAGGGATAACAAAATTGTCCTCTGATTTTACTTTTACCCATCGATTTATGTATCAATCTTAGGTTAACGCACAGTGAAAAAAATCTGTTTGCCCACACAGAAAAATGCAATTTAGAAACACAAAATTTATCAAATTCTCTTTATGTTCAATGATCATCACATGACTGGAGAACAATTTTAACGGTAAGACTTCTGGTAGCGCGCACGAGCACCAGGTCCTCCAAATTTCTTGGATTCACAACGGCGAGGATCTGCAACCAGCAGAGTCCTATCGTACTGGATGAGAATATCCTTGATCTCTTTCTTGGAAGCTTCATCAACATCTGTTTCAAAAATAAAAATCTTCAGTTTAAGAAGTTTCACATGGAACAAATCCCTATTAACGTTTTTTGCACCAAAACTACCAGAAGCCATACATTTCCACCTAAGGATAATACAACAATCAAAACAACTTACATTTTTGATAGTAAGCCACCAATGCTTTGGAAATAGCTTGACGGATAGCTGTTAAAGAAAAAAAGATAATGGATCAGTAAGAATTGCAAAGGTATTTAAAACTTCAACTCAAAGTGCAAGTTATCTGAGAAACTTGCCGTCTTGTTTTCTGCCAGATTGTCCTTTCCCTCCTTAATCTCCCCTCCCACGTACTCCACGTGACCTTTACTTTGGCAAGTCTGAAGAAATCTGTGCCAAGAGGCCACCCACAGTTCACTTGCCGATTTGACAACTGTCAGCTAGCCGAGGAACTGCACAAGGGCAGTCTCCATCACCTTCTCTCCCGAGTACTAATGTAGGTTCATCTTCTACCTACAAGAGGTCAACTTTCAAAATCCTTAGAAGCACAGTTCTCTGAAATGTCTGTACTTTTCAACAAGGATAAAAGTGATCAGTGCATTCAAAGACTAAGGAGGCAAAAGGGACAACTGGACAGTACAAGCAGTTCTTCTGGCATGCCTCAATAAAACAAGCCTGTAGCACAGTAACCAGAACTCAAATGGGGACTATGGGAGTAACTGTGAAGATGATGTTAGGCTGTTATCTGTCAGAACATCAAGAGCAGGATTTTGATGAAAATCAAATGCAAACAACGTTGAGACTGAAACACGTCTCTGCTCTTTATGCAGCTTCAGCTCCACTTCATTAACCCATACGCAGGATTTTGATGAAAATCAAATGCAAACAACTTTGAGACTGAAACATGGCTCTGCTCTTTACGCAGCTTCAGCTCCACTTCATTAACCCATACCCAAACTGAAACAGCACAACAAATTATTATTTTGTAAAGAGCAACTCTGTCAAAGGCTAACTAATGCAAATACGTTCTCAATGTTCTCTGCTGGGGAAAAAACTGCCTAGCTTTGCCAGTCAGCTGAAAGATGCTTCTGAACAACACGGACGTTTACAACTAAAGGTATAATTTCTCATAATAAATCCCCTTTTCCCCTCCCAAAATGTCCATGCTCAGCTGCACTTGAATTGTCCTGTCACACTGCAAGACACAAAGATTGTTTCCTCACATTTCCTCACAATGTCATCAATTTACTTCATTAAACTTACTCCATATGTTACAGTTTTGCACATTAAATGTAACAGTACGTCTTCAGGAAAAACTACTTTTGCTCAGTAGAAAAAGAAACAGAACATCGAGATGCACAAGTTACTATTCTAAACTTAAGCCTCTTAAATATGTGGCTTGACCTGTTCTAGGCCACACCAGAGATCCCACCAAAAATCATACCATAGATTTGTGCTACGTGGCCACCACCCTTTACACGGACTCTGATGTCAACACCAGCAAACCGTTCCTTCCCCAGGAGGAGGACAGGTTCAAGCAGCTGGGAAACAAAACACATAAAGAAAATTAATTTGTGGTCAGAAACAACAAGGATTAGAGCTTGTAGCTTTACCAGATGTGAAGTTACTGAATGTTCTGAAAAAGGAGGCCTTGATTTTACAAGCACAGACTCAAATTAAGGACAATTCTTGCAAAGTTCTTTGACACCTACCTACTAGTGCTGTCATAAAATAAATTTACTTAAAACTTGAATTTATTTTTTTAAGTTTCAGAAATCTTAATATCAAAGCATATGCTGCACATGGGAATTAAGAGGGAACAGTTTAAGTAGAATGCCATAACTACACCAGAAAAATAAATCAAGTTTATTAAAATTGAAGATCTGAAGTAATGTGTATAGGTGGTTTTCTCCACTACTTGTTACATTTTATGGTTATCTAGTCAGTTTTACATTCCCTCAGCAGTGCTCAAAGAGCTACTTTATTAAGTCCTAAACAATTTTAAAAAAGGAGGGCTTTAAATCACCTGTTTCAATTTAAAAAATAGATGTGAAGTGCTGAAAATACTTCACACAGTTACAGTAACATACATGAATCCAGTTAAGCAAAAAGCCCACCCTTCCCAACAAGGCAATCATAGGACAGTTTTCTGAATTTTCCTAACAGCATCTACATTTCAGGTAATCAGGTAACCCACAACCAAAAATTTAGTACTGTCAGTAAGACAAGCAAGTCTTCTCCATCCCCAAGCAATTACACTTATAAAGGTGTTTTAACATCAAGGCATGGGGGGAAGAGAGAAGCTGGGTGGATGCTTACTTTATACTGCAGGGTTCTGGGCTCAATCATTTCCAGAGGTCTTCCATTCACTTTTATGAGGCCATTTCCTCTCTTGCAGTGGGCAACTGCAGTTGCTGTTTTCTAAAAATCCAACTGTGTATTAGTACAGCATTTCATTTTTGCACTAGCAGCATGAAAGCATGAAAGGAATTTCTATTTAACAATCTAAACATCTTAGTTTTATGCTCAAGATTAACTTCTTACACTAAGCAACACAGGATCATTCCCAGGTATTGACTCATAGTATTAAGGCACCATCTTAATAAAATTATATTTAGTTTATAGTAGTAAATACTATATAGTTATAAGATTCAGTTATAAATGAGGTAAAGATACCCTCTCCATTCTGCAACACGGTATTTTTGTGGTTCATTTCCTCA